ATTTTTCCCTTCTCGGATCCCTGAAATTATTTCCGTCCTTTCCGCTCGTGCGCAAGATCAAAAAATCGCAATCGTGTGTGGTGGAGGTAATATTCTTCGTGGTGGTCGTGGGATCGCGAAAGAGATGTCAAGAAACATTGCGGATCAAATTGGGATGATTGGTACCGTAATAAATGGGGAGGACAGGAGGACGACAAGAAGAGGAGGACAAGAAAAGGACAAGAAGAGAACAAGAGCAGGACAAGAGGAGGACAAGAGGAGGACAAGAGGAGGACAAGAGAAGGACAAGAGGAGGAGAAGAGAAGGACAAAAGGCAGCCAGAGGATGACAACAGGACTAGAGAAGGACAAGAGAAGGAGGAGAGGAGGACAAGAGGACGACAAGAGGAGGACAACAGAGAGGAGGACAAGAGGGGCGGCAGCTCCTGCTTTCCCAAGACACAACCCAAGCAGTAAACTGTTTGGGGAACAATTCCAAGCCACTCGGAACTATTCCTCTTCTATAGGGTAGCTTGATAGTCCTTCAGTCTTTAAAGCTGGGACGCGCTCCCAAGCGCTGCAAGTATGACTGGACCCTCCTGGACACAGAGCCCAGCCACAGAGTTCAGGGGCGCGGCCAGTGAGTGTGGCCAGCTCTTTTTTTCTAAGATAGAACCCCAACAGTAAACTGTTTGGGGAACAAAAACAATGAAGAATATAGAGATGGCACCGCCATTCAACAACGATCTTCCACAAATATTGATCGAGCGCAACCACCCTCAAATGATTCTTAGTAGCCCTGCACCTCTTTCAAGAAGGGGTAGGATGCATCTGAAAGAGCCTTTGCGGCGACGCCAATCTTGTCGCCAGTGGGCACGGTGGCAGGAGCACCAGCTGCGGCCACTTGGTTCCTGACTTGCTTAAGGGACTTTGAGAGAAAGAATTGTATTGTAATGTATCATCCCCAGTGGGCAATACTACCACACAACCGCATTTGGGGGAAATCAAAACTACACCTGAAGCAATCAAAAGCTTCTTCTCCACCACGTCTTTGAACTCCAGAAAGTCACTCTGTGTTTCTTTGGGGAGCTGTGAAGTATGCAACCTGCAAAGGAACCCATGGATGTGCAAGCAGTGCTGTGCTTTGAAAGCTGTCTCTTTTGGATCTGTGCTTTTGTAGCGGACCAGGCCTGGCAAAGGATCACAGTCATCAGTGGTGTTAGACCTTGTGTTGCGGAAGGCAAAGCATGGCGAAGCAAACCACCTTCCACACTGAAAACGTCTGAACACCGTGGCCCTCAATAGCTGATCTTCTGAGGCCTTGACGAGTGCGACAGAAGGACCATGGAATTCACCGACGCACCTCAGTAGCAAAGAAATAGACCAATTTACTTCATTGCAACCGAAAATGAGAAATGAAATGTCATGAAGTAAATTGAGGTGTACTTGAAAAATTGGACTGTTCGGAAACTCTGCGGGTCTTGGGGGTCCACAGGTCATGAATGTTGAATGTGCCTGGCATTTCTAAAACCGTCGAGCAAGGTAGAGCAAATTTCTGCATAGCCACCGTCAACGCCTTGAACCAGCATCTCCTGCCTGACGACCCAACAAGTTTGGACAGGAAGCCCCCTCTTGTTTCCTTCAGAGAAAAACTTCAAGCAATAGCTATATAGTTCATTACATACATGGCTTGTAACTGTCTATAGTATTCAACTAACATAGGAAATTAGAGAATACACACTATCTATCACTATCTAAACAATCTAATTTTGCAGTTATGCAGTATACTGGTGCGCAAGACATAAAGAGTCCTTGAACAAAAATTGGCTCGACATGCGATGCCAGCAAAACCAGCACTCAAGGAATAGGGTTGGCACAAGCAAGGCCTTTAACTAGCGTTCTTGTATGCTTGCTCATGCTTGCTCTCATTCCTTCCAAGACTGACATGAATTAAGGGGAGAGGTGGAACTCCCTGAAACTAGGAAAAAATGAAAACGTATATAAAAACCTACTGAGCTTGCCTGAGCGTTGACAAGGAGGCACTTGCATCAGCGTTAATCGCGGATGTTTGCGACACCAACTGTGAAGCCTCGCCGTCCAAACGCGCCAAACGCAATGCCAAAAGCTCCAGAAGCTGCAGAAGACTTACGCGAAGGGAACAAAAAAACTAACCCTGTGTGACGTCACCATGAACAAGAGTTGGAACACCTCAGAAGTTGACACACACTCAACAGAACACTCAGGCAGCCCAAAGAACATGACGACTGACTGGCACTTGTCTTGCAAAATTACAATATATATATATATATATTTACACATATATCTACATATGAAGAGTAAGCAGCACCTTTTCTCTTATTCGCTCTGCAGCTAAGTTGTCAGAAATACAAAAGTTGGGAACAGAAAAAAGAACTCCCAAGTCGAAAGATTGTCCCCCCCCCCCTTCCTGGTCAACAACACACAGACGGGGGCGTTCCCGGACAATCGTCCCCCCCTGACCAGGTGGGCCACACCCCAAGCCCTGGCCAGGCCCTGAGGGACACCAGCGTTTCTTTTTTCTCCTCGCTGGTTTTTTGGAAATTTGTCTCTTCCTTCCAAGTGGTTCGACTGGTGGTGGGAGCGGCGGGGAAGCCGAAAAACTATTCAATAAGAAAGTTCAGGTGTGTTACTCTTTAACCCCGGGGGCGGGAGACCAAAGAGTAAGCAGCACCTTTTCTCTTATTCGCTCTGCAGCTAAGTTGTCAGAAATACAAAAGTTGGGAACAGAAAAAGAACTCCCAAGTCGAAAGATTGTCCCCCCCCCTTCCTGGTCAACGACACGCAGAAGGGGGCGTTCCCGGACAATCGTCCCCCCTGGGCCACACCCCAAACCCTGGCCAGGCCGTGAGGGACACCAGCGTTTCTTTTTTCTCCTCGCTGGTATTTTGGAAATTTGTCTCTTCCTTCCAAGTCCTCCCCGGCCTCGTTTCGAGGACGGCCTGTTGCTTGGCAACGGCTCAAGTGTTTCAAAATCTCTGGTGTTTGAATTCTGAAAAAAGATCCGGTAAGGTGCTATGGTCTTTTCTGGGCTTGCCAACGCCCCAAAATCATGACACGATCTAAATTCCCGCGTTGACAGAACCACCATGTTGCGCCTCCTCGCCGAAGCGAGTACGGTCTCAGTTCCAAAGGTTCCAATTTGAGACTCTCGATACAGGACTTAAACAATTTGCGCCATCGAGGCGGCGAAGGACAAAGTTTCTGATGAGCGGACGCAAGGACTCCAGTGCTGTACAAAGCGGAAAGCGGTGTCATGTCCCAAAGAGACACTTTCTTGAACTCCTGCTCTCTTTCCAGCCTTTGTTAGTCCCAAGGAAATAACCGCAGTACGGAGTTTTGCCGAAACTTCAACGCGGCTACGGACCACATCAAGCAGCTCGCCTTTTCTTAAATTCCGTAGAAGCACACGAGCAAACTGGTGGCAAATGCAAAACGTCCATGGTACAGCTGCTCACGCCGGCTTGGTAACTCCAGGCCTTCGGCCTTGAGGAACCCGAGAAATCTGTTCAAGGCTTTTTCATACCGAACTCTATAGTGGACGGTTGGACAGTCAGCTGCTTTAAACTTCCTAGTTTTTGCCGATCCTTTGCTCTTCTAGCCTGTGTTGCACCTTCAAAGACGACCTTTGGCATGGCGAAACTTAGTTCGCACCGCCCAACGCGACGGGCGATCCGCCGGGTTGAGGTCAGTGCTCACATATCCCCAAAGTCCAATCACATTGTGGGCTAGCAAGAGCGAGTTGATTCGGCGCAGGGTCCTTCTCAGTCGACGGCTCGAGGTTCTTCCCCTTGTCATGCTATGTAAACACACT